TATTCATTGTTAACATTCACATGTATATGAGGCTGTGGGAAATATGACTTTAGTCAGACACACCTTAGTCCTTAAACTGGTATCTTTGCTCTTGAGCACTTTTAAGAGACCTTGTGCAGTAGATTTGCTTTACTGCTGCTTCCATGAGTGTTGATTGTGGATCTAAGCAAAATGAAGTCTAAGTATTATGTTAAGTTGTGTTTTCTGCATATCTCAGTTATGAGTCTTCCTTCAATCCAATGCTACTAAATAATTTTAAATAAATAAAACCCACTAAATAATTTTAATGACGGTTTAGATTTTGAACTTTAGTCTCAGTCTCTAACCTATTAACAATGGCAAATTAGAAAATTATTTAAAAGCTACATGTTGGGAAAGCAAATGTGAATTGAATACATGAAAGGAAAGAATATTCATTGTTGGTGTTTTATTTCCAGCAAACACAAGGAAATCCTTGTTGTGCTACTTAGCAATTCTTATTCTTTCCCACCCCACCCCAAACTAAAATAGTATAATTACTGGGGTAAGAAGTGTGCTTGTGTAACTAAAAGTTTATTGTCCTCTGAAGTCTGAAGGCTTTGTAAAAAAGTCAGTAGCTTCTGGGTCTCTAGTTAGACTTCAAGGTCATCTTCCCTTTCCATCAATTGTCCTTAAGACCTCCTGGAGGCAAGGAGGTTGTTACTGTTAGCCACTTCTTGTACACATGCCATTTCTTGTAAATGACCAAAGAAAAATAATGAACCATCTGTGCTTTCATTTATTTGTTGGAAGAATCTGAAAATGATGTATCTGAGCAACTATTTGAATAACTGCACATAGTGCTTTGCTAGATTTTGGGGAACTGCAAATATGAGTTAGAAGTTGATGGCATAGTGAAAGAGAATTCTCTTGGTTGAATGTGAAAAAAATGTTAGCTTATAAAGAAAAGATCATATTTGAATGAGGCACTTGGAGAAAGCTTCATGGAGGTAGGACCATTTGAGCTGTGCCTTGAAAGATGGTTAGGATTTCATTAGAAATCAAGAAAAGAGCAGTTTGGGTGAAGGATTATATTTGTGTATATACATAGGTGTCCTGTGTGTGTTAAGTATTGGCCTGCTAACTGAAAGGTTGGTGATTTGAGCCCACATTCACTCTACCATAGAAAAATTTGCTTTTGTAAAGATTTAACAACCCCAGTGATCAACATAATGTTACATTGTGGGGATTGCAATCAAAGACATGAAACAATGTGTATGATTATTGAATGGATAACTGATTTTCTCTGTAAACGTTTACCTAATTCACCATAAAAGTTAAAAGAAAATAAATGATTTACATCCTTGAAAACCATAGGGAGCAGTTCTGCTCTGTTCTATAAAGTCACTAGGAGTCAGAAACAACTCGACAGCATTGTTTATTACTTTTTTTAAAAAAAATATTATCGATACATATACACACACATACAGATGTATATATATGCACGTGCACATATATGCCCTGTATGTACATACTGGTTATACATTTTGGATACTAGTCCATTATCATACATGATTTTTGCAATTTTCGCCTATTCTGTTGGTTTTCTTTTCATTTTGAAGAAGTCCAGTCTATTTTGTCTTTTGTTGCTGGTGCTTTTGGTGTTATATCTAAAAACTCATTGACTAATGTAACATCATGTGTACTGTTTCATTTTTAAAAAATGTTTTATTGTGAATTATGTGATAGTTTACATGGGAGAACATTAACTTTATATTCATCTTATCGTATATCATTTCATTGTCATGGTTACAATCCCCTCTTTGCATCAATGCATCATCAACCAACCAAAGGGTATACCCTGCAAGCTTGTCCCCCACCCCCACCACCCACCACCCCTCTGTCAGTAATTTCCTCTGTCCAATGGAATTTAATTCTTGGTCTTGGTGCCTATTAACATGGACATTTGGTTCCCACTAGTTGACCCTTACCAGAGTACTCATGAATTTCTAAAGCAGGCCCCTCTTCCCAGCAGGATTCCTTCCCTGCTCTGTAAACTGCTTTCTCCAGTGCAGGAAGAAATCACTTTTTCCAACCTGGAAACAGCTCTCCAGTGTGTGGGTCTGCACACCGTAGACTGGAGAAACCACTTAGGCAGACAAGGCTGACATCTGACTGGCAAGTTGCAATACTTGGGCTGTTTGAATTGCTCACCTATGTGGATTTTGTGGGGCAGGTGTGAGAACTGTGGGCATAGAGGGGTCACACGTACCTTGCTTGGATTAGATAGGTCTGACTGGCTGCCTGGGGGGTTCCATGGGGTCAAGGCAATGTGTACTTGTCCCTATACTCCACTGCCACCTGACTTCACATGAGACAAACCACGGGACCCAGGCACACATATGCAGTGTCTTCTGCTTGCTTCTGGACCAGCCCATTCTTGCACTGTGGCAGCCTTGAGCACAGTTCTCCATGCAACTCTCTATCCATCCCCAGCTGTATGTACCAAGGCACAGGAAATGTATACTGCTTTTAGGCCTGGTCACAAATTGTCCCAGAGCAAACACAGTTTCAGTTGTTTATTTTCCAATTACTGGGGTACTGCCAGACTTGATAGAAGCTCTGGTAGCATAGTGGTTATGAATTGGGCTGCTAACCTCAAGGTCAGCAGTTCGAAACTGTCAGCTGTTCCGCGGGAGAAAGATGAGGCTTTCTGCTCCCGTAAAGATTTGCAGCCTTGGAAAACCTGTGCAGGGTCACTATGAGTCAGAACTGACTCCACGGTACGTAACAACAACAACCACTAGACTTGATAGATGAATTCTTGACTTGCTCCTCCAGTTTACAAATAAGATCAAAAGTAAAATTTTGGGATTATTGAATGAGGATGAATTAGGCTAAAATTCACTTAGGTACTCACTCGTCTATTCTTAAGAAATTTGGAAGACAGCTATTTGGCCAACCAATTGAAAGAGATTCATATTTATACCGATTCCAAAGAAAGGTGACCCAACAAAATACGGAAATCATTGGACAGTATCATTATCACATGCAAATAAAATTTTGCTGAAGATAATTTTAAAAACTCTGCAGCAGTACATCAACAGGGAACTGCCAGAAATTCTAGCTGCATTAAGAAGAGGACGTGGAATGAGGGATAGATAGCATTGCTTATGTCAGATGGCTCTTGGCTAAAAGCAGAGAATACCAGAAAAATGTTTACTTGTGCTTTGACTATGCAAAGGCTTTTGACTGTGGATCATGACAAAAGCATTTCCAAGAATGGGTGTTCCTGAACGCTTAATTGTGCTCATGAGGAACCTGTACAAAGGACCAAGAGACAGCTGTTTGACCAGAACAAGGAAAACTGAACAAGTTTAAATCAGGAAAGATGTTCGTCAGGGTTACATCCTTTCACCATCCTTATTCAGTCTGTATGCTGAGCAACTAATTCCAGAATCTGGATTATATGAAGAAGAACGTGGTATCAGCATTGGAGGAAGATTCATTAATAACCTGCTATATGCAGTTGATGTACCTTGTTTGCTGAAATACTGACGAAGATCAAAGACTACAGTCTTCTGTATGGATTACACCTCAGTGTAAAGGAAAACAATAATCCTCACAACTGGAACAATAAATGAAATCATAATAAATGTAGAAAAGATCGAAAATGGGAAAGACTTCAATTTGTTTTTTTCCACCATCAATGCTCATGGAAGCAGCATTCAAGAAATCAAATGATGTATTGCATCAGTCAACTCTGCTTTACAAGACCTCTTAAAAGTGTTCAAGAGCAAAGATGTCAGAGGAAGGTGCCTCTGACTCAAGCCATAGTATTTTCAGTTGCCTAATGTACATGTGCTCTGGTAGCGTAGTGGTTACGACTTGGGCTGTGAACC